GAAGAGCCACTTGGACGTTATCGCCGTACGCCCCTCCGGTAGCTCCACCAATTCAAACGTGTCATTCTCCTCGATGCTCTTCAGCTCACTCTCCATGGCCTTCTTCCACTCCTCAGCATCACTACTCTCCAAAGCCTCCTTGAGAGTTGCTGGTTCTCCCGGCATCTCCACCGGAGAGAAGAACGCGAAGGCACACTCCTCGTAGTCACTCTCCTCGTCGTCTCCGACCATCATTGCCGCTCCGGCCAGGGCTGTCTTGCCCTGCTTTCCCGGCGCATCATAGGTCAGCCTATTAGGGGGTTGAACTCTCCTCTTCCCCCTTCCTTCCTCCTCAGCTGCAGGGACTTGAAGGCCTTGGCGTTGCTGCGGTGTGGCTCGAATCCGTGGAGCACTCGTAGTACGGGAAGGAAGTGACGGTGCACGCTCGCTCACTTGCTGCACCTCCTCCTCTTCTTCCTCTGCATCATTGGCCTCCTCTCCCCCATTCACAAGGGAGGATTTCCTTGTGGTTGTGCTGCCGCTGCTCAGTTCCAAAGGCAGCTCCACATGCTCCAAACCGGAACTCTTCACCTCCCCAAACCGCACGCCTATCTTCGCCTCATTCTCCGCCTTCCAATCCTTGTACATGAAGTTCTCCATGAACTTGCAGTCCCTGCTAACCAAGAACTTCTTGGTGAATGGGTCCCAAAGAAGCCATCCCTTGCTGTTTTGAGCCATGCCCAAGTGCACGGCCCACACCGCCTTGGCACCAAGCTTGTTGTGCCGAAGATGCTTAGGCACGAGCGCCATGCACATGCACCCGAACACCCGAAGCATATCCACCTTTGGCTTCCTTCCTAGCCACTCCACATAGGGCACCCATTTGTCTGCTCCCACATGAGTCAAGGCTCTGTTCTTGGCCACACACGCGCTCCGCACCGCATCAGGCCAGAAATAGTCGGGTAGCCCGGCTTCAATGAGCAACCCGCGTGCCGCCTCCGTGATTGTGCGGTTCGCTCGCTCGGCGATGCCGTTCATTGCAGGGGAGTATGGCATGGTGAGGGAGTGCCGAATACCATTCTTCTTCAGCCACAACCCAAACTCCTTGCTCAGGAACTCTCCCCCTCGATCGGTGCGGATTGACTTGACTAGACGGTCTTGTTGCCGCTCCACCATCGGGAACCAATCCGTCTTCAACGTTTCAGCCACGTCGCTCTTCTTGGCCAGCACGTGCACCCAAGTCATGCGGGTGTAGACGTCGACAATGGTGAGAAAATACTCAGCTCCAGCAGCTCCAAGCTTCAGGGGGCCCACCACGTCCATCACCACCTCATCAAGCGGTGCCTTTGCCGTTGCCTCCGAACTAGGGAACGGAAACCGGGTGAACTTGGCTTGAATGCACGTCGGGCAGCCAAGCACCTCATCGGGCTCCCCCTTCACACGTATGCCAGCAACCATCTCATTCTTCACTAGCTGCTGCAAGATGGGCAGGGCCACATGCCCCATGCGCCGATGCAAGGTGAGCCAATCACACTCCCCCGTAGCCGAAGTTGGATTGGAGAATGCCGCGCTCGCAATAGCGCCCCACATACTCTCTCCGTAGTCCTCCTCCGCTGCTGCCTCTGGGTTCTCCTCACCCTTTTGCTGCTCCTTGGTTGCTGCACCACTCTCCTTAGGTTCACTGAACTTGCTGGTCCCTCCAGGTTTGCTCTTCTTGAGCTCATTCTCCTTAGCGCGACCGTTCGCGCCATCGTCGCTACCGACCGCTCCATCCTTGGTGCTGATGCTTGCTGCCACTTGCCTGTCCTTAGGCATAGGGACCACTGGGATCTGCCACATCTCGTTGTAGACATCCCTGTCCTCATGAAGGTCCCAAAGAATTCGATCGCCAAGCCTTGCGGTGTAGGTCTTGGCTCCCTTCGAGTTCGTGTCCATGCCGGCCTTTGCCAACCGCCGCACGGAAATCAGGTTTGCAGCAAGGCTGGGCACCCAAAGCACGTTCTTGAGGCCCACCATCTTCCCATCAGCACCCTTGAACATGGCCTTGCCCATGCCTTTCACCTCTGCTCGCTGCCCCAAAGCCGATGTGACATGCTTCACCGGTGACGGCTCGAGTTCGGTGAGCAAGTCCGGGCGAGGTGTCATGCTATAGGTAGCGCCACTATCAATCACCCAATAGTCCAGGGGGTGTAGGGTCACCTTCCCCACAGCTGCTGGCTCCTCAAAGCCTTCATCCTTCTCTGGACTAGCCGGTACTTGCGTCGACACGAAGTAGAATAGACCCGGGTATCGATCGTCGCTCGGGTCCTTGTCGTTGTCTCCGCTCTTCATGTTTGCAGCTCCGCCACCGCGACCGCCACGGCCTCCACGGCCTCGTCCTCTCCCTCCTCCTGCTCCTCTACCCTCTTGGCCTTGAGCAGGGGTCCAACCATCAGGGAGTTTGTAGCAGTCGCGCCACATGTGTCCGCTCTTGTGGCAATAGTGACACTCGCCGTCGAATCGGCCGCGACCGCGTCCGTAGCTCTTGTCGTCGCTGCCGTAACCGCCACTCCTGCGGCCTCCGCCGAAGTTGCTGCCACCAAACCTTCCTCCCCCTCGTCCTCTGCCTCTTCCTCGACCATATCCACGGCCGATGCTCGCTGCCCCAGCGCCATCCCCACTCGCCAACTCACGGCGGCGGAAATCCTCTTGAAGGATAGCTCGCTTCACGTCTTCAAGTGAGAGGCGGGGCAAGTCGCGATTAAGGTTGATGATGAGCGAGGACCATGACTCTGGGAGTAAGGCCAGCAACTTGGTCTTCTTTTGGAGCTCACTGTAGTTCAAATCAGCTCCCTCAAGCCGCGTCAACAAGTCGAAGAATTTCTGCACCCCTTCTTCAACCGCTTCATCCTCTTCAATTCGTAGTGTCGCCATTTGCCGTTCCAACACCACAGCTACCGCCGCTGTTGCAGGAGCGTGTACACCCTTGAGAGCAGCCCATGCCTTTGGTCCCTTCTCTGGTTCACGCTGGAAAGGCTTGATGTGACGGATCTGGCTGCTCCCCAACGCTTGCCCTAGTAGGAGGTAGCCTTGTGCGCTCTTCCGCACCCACGGGCTCTTCTCCGGGTCGTTCTCAGGGCGCTTCTCCGTTCCTTCCATCACCTCCAGCAGGTCATAGTGATCAAACACGTTCTCCATTCTGAAGGACCACTCAGCAAAGTTGTCACCGTTGAACTTGTCAAGGCCAAACACTCTAGGCTCGTCCCTAGATGGGCCAACACTTGGTTGCACGGGCGCCATGGCTGAGTCACGGGGTTGGCCTTGAGCTTGAGCTTCTCCACTGCCACCAGCACCTCTGCCACCCCTTTCCTCAGGTCCAGACATTGTCGAAACTGCTCCAAGGGGCTCTGATAGCACTTGTTATAGTCACAATAGGCTTGAATGTGCCTAAAACGAAAGATAGAGAGCACAGACGGATTTCTGCACAGCGGCTTCAAACGTTGATAGCGTTCTGCTCACAGCTGCAAATGACTTGATTGCACGATTTGATAAAGAATTGACGACACAGCGTCGGTTTGAACGAACGGTACTATGGCAGCCACTATAGTCTTAGAACACAAGATAGGAAGAGTTACGAGTTGGGAATGACTCCCAGCTCCTACAAACCCCAAGAGCCGAGGTACAGTGATGTGGAACAGTGCCACACTGTCCCCAACCACGAAGGGTCTCGAAACTACCCTTCACTAGGGCCTACACCAAGTGAAATGTTACACTACACAAAGTAATGTAACTATCTTCAATATCTTGAGGTGTACCCTTTTGGCAAGCTTCGAAATCACTTGAGGCTTGACACCAAGGCTCGGGCTCTTCATCACAAACTCATCCTTGAGTTCTTGATGGGTCTGCTGCACACACCTGCGACACGCCGAACGTTCGACACATGACAAAATAGAAACCGCGCACGACAAAATAGAAACCGCGCGCGGGACACAAACGACCGCGTAACACGCGTCTAGCGATAACTCGCTATTGACTCGACACACACACTCGACATCATGACTCAACATTCACACACAATTATAAGCATGAAATATATATTATCCCATGCTCTCATACCATTCCATACACACACACATTCACGCACACGGACAACAAGCCGAGTGCAAACCGTAGGGTTGCACCAACAGCTAGTATGCTCTGCTGCATTGCTAGCACGCTCAGCTGCGTTGCTAGCACGCTCTGCTGTGTTGCTAGCACGCTCTGCTGCGTTGCTAGCACGCTCTGCTGTGTTGCTAGCACGCTCTGCTGTGTTGCTAGCTCGCTCATCTGCGTTGCTAGCACGCTCAGCTGCGTTGCTAGCACGCTCAGATGCGTTGCTAGCACGCTCTGCTGCGTTGCTAGCACGCTCTGCTGCGTTGCTAGCACGCTCAGCTGCGTTGCTAGCGCGCTCAGCTCTGCTGTGTTGCTAGCACGCTCATCTGCGTTGCTAGCACGCTCAGCTGCATTGTTAGCACGCTCAGATGCGTTGCTAGCACGCTCTGCTGCGTTGCTAGCACGCTCTGCTGCGTTGCTAGCACGCTCAGCTGCGTTGCTAGCGCGCTCAGCTTCGTTGCTAGCACGCTCTGCTGCGTTGCTAGCACGCTCAGCTGCGTTGCTAGCACGCTCAGCTGCGTTGCTAGCACGCTCTGCTGCGTTGCTAGCACGCTCTGCTGCGTTGCTAGCACGCTCTGCTGCGTTGCTAGCACGCTCTGCTGCGTTGCTAGCACGCTCTGCTGCGTTGCTAGCACGCTCAGCTGCGTTGCTAGCACGCTCAGCTGCGTTGCTAGCACGCTCTCCTGCATTGCTAGCACGCTCTGCTGCGTTGCCAGCACGCTCAGCTGCGTTGCCAGCACGCTCTGCTGCGTTGCTAGCACGCTCAGCTGCGTTGCTAGCACGAGAAGCTGCGTTGCTAGCACGCTCTGCTGCGTTGCTAGCACGCTCTGCTGCGTTGCCAGCATGCTCTGCTGCGTTGCTAGCACGCTCTGCTGCGTTGCTAGCATGACATGCTGCGTTGCTAGCACGCTCTGCTGCGTTGCTAGCACGCTCTTCAGCGTTGCTAGCACGCTCTTCTGCGTTGCTAGCACACTCTTCTGCGTTGCTAGCACCCTCAGCTGCGTTGCTAGCACGCTCAGCTGCGTTGCTTGCACGCTCAGCTGCGTTGCTAGAAGGCTCAGCTGCGTTGCTAGAAGGCTCAGCTGCGTTGCTAGCACGCTCAGCTGCGTTTAGGGCACTGAGACCGTGCTAGCAACGAAGTAGAGAGCGCTAGCAACGCAGCAGAGCGTGCTAGCAACGCAGCAGAGTGTGCTAGCAACGCAGTAGAGCGTGCTAGCAACGCAGCTGAGGGTGCTAGCAACGCTCTGCTGCGTTTAGGGCACTGAGACCGTGCTAGCAACGAAGTAGAGAGCGCTAGCAACGCAGCAGAGCGTGCTGGCAACGCAGCAGAGCGTGCTAGCAACGCAGCAGAGCGTGCTAACAACGCAGCATGTCGTGCTAGCAACGCAGCAGAGCGTGCTGGCAACGCAGCTGAGCGTGCTGGCAACGCAGCAGAGCGTGCTAGGAACGCAGCAGAGCGTGCTAGCAACGCAGCTGAGCGTGCTAGAAACGCAGCTGAGCATGCTAGAAATGCAGCAGAGCGTGCTAGCAACGCAGCAGAGCGTGCTAGCAACGCAGCAGACGGTGCTAGCAACGCGGCTCGTCGTGCGAGCAACGCAGCAGAGCATGCTAGCAACGCAAATGAGCGTGCTAGCAACGCAACAGAGCGTGCTAGCAACGCAGCAGAGCGTGCTAGCAACGCAGCAGAGCGTGCTAGTAACGCAACAGAGCGTGCTATTCTCGCTTTCCATCACCCCGCCCCATTCTCTCGCTTTCCATCAGCCCGCCCCATTCTCCCGCTTTCCATCACCCCGCCCCATTCTCCCTCCTTCCATCACCCCTCCCTATTCTCCCTCTTTCCATCATCGCGCACCATTCTCCCTCTTTCCATCACCCCGCCCTATTCTTCCTCTTTCTATCACCCCGCCCCGTTCTCCCGCTTTCCATTACCCCGCCCCGTTCTCCCGCTTTCTATCATCCCGCCTCGTTCTCCCGCTTTCCATCACCACGCCCCGTTCTCCCACTTTCCATCACCCTGCCCCGTTCTCCCGCTTTCCATCACCCCGCCCCGTTCTCCCGCTTTCCATCACCCCGACCCGTTCTCCCGCTTTCCATCACCCCGCCCCGTTCTCCTGCTTTCCATCACCCCGCCCCGTTCTCCCGCTTTCCATCACCCTGCCCCGTTCTCCCTCTTTCCATCACCCCGCCCCGTTTTCCCGATTTCCGTCACCCCGCCCCGTTCTCCCGCTTTCCATCACCCCGCCCCATTCTCCCGCTTTCCATCACCCCGACCCGTTCTCCCGCTTTCCATCACCCCGCCCCGTTCTCCCGCTTTCCATCACCCCGCCCCGTTCTCCCGCTTTCCATCACCCCGCCCCGATCTCCCGCTTTCCATCACCCTGCCCCATTCTCCCTCTTTCCATCACCCCGCCCCGTTCTCCCGCTTTCCATCACCCAGCCCCGTTCTCCCGCTTTCCATCACCCCGCCCCATTCTCCCTCTTTCCATCACCCCGCCCCAATCTCCCGCTTTCCATCACCCTGCCCCATTCTCCTGCTTTCCATCACCCGGCCCCGTTCTCCCACTTTCCATCACCCCGCCCCAATCACCCGCTTTCCATCACCCCGCCCCATTCTCCTGCTTTCCATCACCCTGCCCCATTCTCCCTCTTTCCATCACCCCGCCCCGTTCTCCCGCTTTCGATCACCCCGCCCCGTTCTCCCGCTTTCCATCACCCCGCCCCATTCTCCCTCTATCCATCACCCCGCCCTGATATCCCGCTTTCCATCACCCTGCCCCATTCTCCCGCTTTCCATCACCCCGCCCCGTTCTCCCACTTTCCATCACCCTGCCCCATTCACCCGCTTTCCATCACCCCGCCCCATTCTCCTGCTTTCCATCAACCCGCCCCATTCTCCCGCTTTCCATCACCCTGCCCCATTCACCCGCTTTCCATCAACCCGCCCCATTCTCCCTCCTTCCATCACCCCTCCCTATTCTCCCTCTTTCCATCACCCAACCATTTCTCCCTCTTTCCATCATCGCGCCCCATTCTCCCTCTTTCCATCACCCCGCCCTATTCTTCCTCTTTCCATCACCCCGCCCCGTTCTCCCGCTTTCCATCACTCCGCCACGTTCTCCCACTTTCCATCATCCCGCCTCGTTCTCCCGCTTTCCATCACCACGCCCCGTTCTCCCACTTTCCATCACCCCGCCCCGTTCTCCCGCTTTCCATCACCCCGCCCCGTTCTCCCGCTTTCCATCACCCCGACCCGTTCTCCAGCTTTCCATCACCCCGCCCCGTTCTCCCGCTTTCCATCACCCTGCCCCGTTCTCCCGCTTTCCATCACCCTGCCCCGATCTCCCGCTTTCCATCACCCTGCCCCATTCTCCCTCTTTCCATCACCCCGCCCCGTTCTCCCGCTTTCCGTCACCCCGCCCCGTTCTCCCGCTTTCCATCACCCCGCCCCGATCTCCCGCTTTCCATCACCCTGCCCCATTCTCCCTCTTTCCATCACCCCGCCCCGTTCTCCCGCTTTCCATCACCCAGCCCGTTCTCCCGCTTTCCATCACCCCGCCCCATTCTCCCTCTATCCATCACCCCGCCCTGATATCCCGCTTTCCATCACCCTGCCCCATTCTCCCGCTTTCCATCACCCCGCCCCGATCTCCCACTTTCCATCACCCTGCCCCATTCACCCGCTTTCCATCACCCCGCCCCATTCTTTTTCTTTCCATCAACCCGCCCCATTCTCCCGCTTTCCATCACCCCACCCCATTCTCCCGCTTTCCATCACCCCGCCCCATTCTCCCGCTTTCCATCACCCCGCCCCATTCTCCCGCTTTCCATCACCCCGCCCCATTCTCCCTCTTTCCATCACCCCTCCCTATTCTCCCTCTTTCCATCACCCAACCCATTTCTCCCTCTTTCCATCATCGCGCCCTATTCTTCCTCGTTCCATCACCCCGCCCTATTCTTCCTCTTTCCATCACCCCGCCCCGTTCTCCCGCTTTCCATCACCCCGCCCCATTCTCCCGCTTTCCATCACCCCGCCCCATTCTCCCGCTTTCCATCACCCCGCCCCATTCTCCCTCTTTCCATCACCCCTCCCTATTCTCCCTCTTTCCATCACCCAACCCATTTCTCCCTCTTTCCATCATCGCGCCCTATTCTTCCTCGTTCCATCACCCCGCCCTATTCTTCCTCTTTCCATCACCCCGCCCCGTTCTCCCGCTTTCCATCACCCCTCCCTATTCTCCCTCTTTCCATCACCCAACCCATTTCTCCCTCTTTCCATCATCGCGCCCTATTCTTCCTCGTTCCATCACCCCGCCCTATTCTTCCTCTTTCCATCACCCCACCCCATTCTCCCGCTTTCCATCACCCCGCCCCATTCTCCCGCTTTCCATCACCCCGCCCCATTCTCCCGCTTTCCATCACCCCGCCCCATTCTCCCTCTTTCCATCACCCCTTCCTATTCTCCCTCTTTCCATCACCCAACCCATTTCTCCCTCTTTCCATCATCGCGCCCTATTCTTCCTCGTTCCATCACCCCGCCCTATTCTTCCTCTTTCCATCACCCCGCCCCGTTCTCCCGCTTTCCATCACCCTGCCCCGTTCTCCCGCTTTCCATCATCCCGCCTCGTTCTCCCGCTTTCCATCACCACGCCCCGTTCTCCCACTTTCCATCACCCCGCCCCGTTCTCCTGCTTTCCATCACCCCGCCCCGTTCTCCCGCTTTCCATCACCCCGACCCGTTCTCCCGCTTTCCATCACCCCGCCCCGTTCTCCCGCTTTCCATCACCCCGCCCCGTTCTCCCGCTTTCCATCACCCCGCCGCGATCTCCCGCTTTCCATCACCCTGCCCCATTCTCCCTCTTTCCATCACCCCGCCCCGTTCTCCCGCTTTCCATCACCCCGCCCCGTTCTTCCGCTTTCCATCACCCCGCCCCGTTCTCCCGCTTTCCATCACCCCGCCCCATTCTCCCTCTTTCCATCACCCCGCCCCAATCTCCCGCTTTCCATCACCCTGCCCCATTCTCCTGCTTTCCATCACCCGGCCCCGTTCTCCCACTTTCCATCACCCCGCCCCAATCACCCGCTTTCCATCACCCCGCCCCATTCTCCTGCTTTCCATCACCCCGCCCCATTCTCCCGCTTTCCATCACCCCACCCCATTCTCCCGCTTTCCATCACCCCGCCCCATTCTCCCACTTTCCATCACCCGCCCCATTCTCCCGCTTTCCATCACCCCGCCCCATTCTCCCTTTTTCCATCACCCCGCCCTATTCTCCCGCTTTCCATCACCCCGCCCCATTCTCCCTCTTTCCATCACCTCGCCCCATTCTCCTGCTTTCTATCACCCCGCCCCATTCTCCCGCTTTCCATAAACCCGCCCCGTTCTCCCGCTTTCCATCACCCCGCCCCATTCTCCCGCTATCCATCACCCAGCCCCATTCTCCCTCTTTTCATCACCCAGCCCCATTCTCCCTCTTTCCATCACCCTGCCCCGTTCTCCCGCTTTCCATCTCCCCGACCCATTCTCCCTCTTTCCATCACCCCGCCCCATTCTCCCGCTTTCCATCTGAATATGCAACAATATTCGGGTCGTTGGATGCTTTCCCCTACGCCTATAGGGATCCGTGCGCTTCCTTAGCATTTGGGGGCAGGCACGGCCGTCGTCGCAGGCGCTGAACTTTTCTGTGTGCGCGAACCAAGCTGAAGTTGCTCTGGTAGGTGTATTTGAATATGGGCCATCTGAATATGCAACAATATCCGGGTCGTTGGATGCTTTTCCCTACGCCTATAGGGATTCGTGCGCTTCCTTAGCATTTGGGGGCAGGCACGGCCGTCGTCGCGGGCGCCGAACTTTTCTGTGCGCGCGAACCAAGCTGAAGTTGCTCTGGTAGGTGTATTTGAACATGGGCCATCTGAATATGCAACAATATCCGGGTCGTTGGATGCTTTCCCCTACGCCTATAGGGATCCGTGCGCTTCTTTAGCATTTGGGGGCAGGCACGGCCGTCGTCGCGGGCGCGGAACTTTTCTGTGCGCGCGAACCAAGCTGAAGTTGCTCTGGTAGGTTTATTTGAACATGGGCCATCTGAATATGCAACAATATCCGGGTCGTTGGATGCTTTTCCCTACGCCTACAGGGATCCGTGCGCTCCTTAGCATTTGGGGGCAGGCACGGCCGTCGTCGCGAGCGCCGAACTTTTCTGTGCGCGCGAACCAAGCTGAAGTTGCTCTGGTAGGTGTATTTGAACATGGGCCATCGGAATATGCAACAATATCCGGGTCGTTGGATGCTTTCCCCTACGCCTATAGGGATCCGTGCGCTTCCTTAGCATTTGGGGGCAGGCACGGCCGTCGTCGCGGGCCTCGAACTTTTCTGTGCGCGCGAACCAAGCTGAAGTTGCTCTGGTAGGTGTATTTGAACATGGGCCACCCGAACATGCAACAATATCCGGGTCGTTGGATGCTTTCCCCTACGCCTATAGGGATCCGTGCGCTTCCTTAGCATTTGGGGGCAGGCACGGCCGTCGTCGCGGGCGCCGAACTTTTCTGTGCGCGCGAACCAAGCTGAAGTTGCTCTGGTAGGTGTATTTGAACATGGGCCACCCGAACATGCAACAATATTCGGGTCGTTGGATGCTTTCCCTTACGCCTATAGGGATCCGTGCGCTTCCTTAGCATTTGGGGGCAGGCACGGCCGTCGTCGCGGGCGCCGAACTTTTCTGTGCGCGCGAACCAAGCTGAAGTTGCTCTGGTAGGTGTATTTGAACATGGGCCACCTAAATATGCAACAATATCCGGGTCGTTGGATGCTTTTCCCTACGCCTATAGGGATCCGTGCGCTTCCTTAGCATTTGGGGGCAGGCACGGCCGTCGTCGCGGGCGCCGAACTTTTCTGTGCGCGCGAACCAAGCTGAAGTTGCTCTGATAGGTGTATTTGAACATGGGCCATCTGAATATGCCACAATATTGGGGTCGTTGGATGCTTTCCCCTACGCCTATAGGGATCCGTGCGCTTCCTTAGCATTTGGGGGCAGGCACGGCCGTCGTCGCGGGCGCCGAACTTTTCTGTGCGCGCGAACCAAGCTGAAGTTGCTCTGGTAGGTGTATTTTGTTGATTGTGTAGGTGGTTGTGGTATTTTGCTCTAGCTGGTTGTGGGCTAAGGGTTTGGGCAAAATGTGGTGGTTAGACTTGTTGCGGGCTGGATTTGATCTCGCACCCAACAAGCACCAACAAACCTTTGCTATTCACAACAACACCTTTGGTGTTGCTAGTTTAGCACTTTGGGTTGTTGGGGATTGTTGTAGGGCGAGGGTTGGGTTGGTAGGGTTTGAACAACTCGTCACTTTTCAGATCTGAACTCTTGCTAAAGCTAGTTTCTTGATCTTATCCATGGCTGCCACTTAATTCCGCCAGGATACACCGTCGCACTTAAATCGCGATAGCGATCGGCCTAGATCTTGGTTGAAGGCGTGCTTTACCATTCTGGAAAGTAGAGATTAAGACCTTTCCAACGCGTACCTGCTCGTAGTTTAGGATTACGTGAGCTGCACGCAATGTCCCGTCGAATATTGCGGACTTAATCTCTTGTACGCTCTCCAGATTCGCTCGCTTTCCATCAGTGGTATCAGAGCTGGTTAGGCCTGCGACATTCCCTCCTATTATCACACTTCGAATTGGCTTAAAAACCTCCAGATCTAGGGTTTGTTATGGCCCAGAAATTAGATGGCCCTCCTAGGTTCACCGGCTCGGATTTTTCGCTATGGCGGTTCCAGTTTACGCTCTGGCTAGGTATTAAAGACCTAGAGGGCGTTTTGGAGGGATCGGAGCGAAGACCTGAAGCTGATGAAGGAAAGGCATCTACTGGAGTCTCTAGCCAATTGGGAGAAGGGGCTGGGGGAGCCTCTAGCTCATCCATAACTGAGGGAAGTGGAGGTGGATCAGCAGCACCGCGAACCGGAAGGCAACGGCTTAGTGCGGAGGAGCTTATCAAGGCACAGGAAGCATGGGACCGCAAGGACAAGCAAGCGTTCCAGTACCTGTGTTGGGCCTTGGAAGGCCAACTAGAGCTCCTAAAGATGCTGATTGACCTGAAGGGGAAGCAAGGAGCAGCTGCCCAAGCATGGAAGAGAGTTCAAGATCGCCATTTGCAAAAGGGACTGCTAAGCATACTCACATGAAGGAAGCGGTTTTACACCATGGAACGCAACTATGGTGATGGGGAGACCATGGTGCAGTATCTCCAGAGGGTGGATGCGTATGTGAGAGCCTTAGAGGAGTTGAACTACACTGTAGATGAGAAGGAGATCATCTACACCGCACTCCAGGGGCTGGACCAAGAGGCGAACGAGGCCCTACTGCAGTACCTTCACCTTGAGCAACAGAAATGGACCAAGGCCTGGATATGGGAGGTGTTGGTCTCTGATGAGGCTCGCAAGCGTGATGCTGGTAGAGGAGTTGAAGGGGGAATGGGGGCAGGGAATAGGGCTGCCTCCAAGAAATACCAGCAGCGGCAAGGAGGTGGGGGGAAGAAGATGTTATAGTCACAATAGGCTTGAATGTGCCTAAAACGAAAGATAGAGAGCACAGACGGATTTCTGCACAGCGGCTTCAAACGTTGATAGCGTTCTGCTTACAGCTGCAAATGACTTGATTGCAAGTTGCAATTTAGATTGCACGATTTGATAAAGAATTGACGACACAGCGTCGGTTTGAACGAACGGTACTATGGCAGCCACTATAGTCTTAGAACACAAGATAGGAAGAGTTACGAGTTGGGAATGACTCCCAGCTCCTACAAACCCCAAGAGCCGAGGTACAGTGATGTGGAACAGTGTCACACTGTCCCCAACCACGAAGGGTCTCGAAACTACCCTTCACTAGGGCCTACACCAAGTGAAATGTTACACTACACAAAGTAATGTAACTATCTTCAATATCTTGAGGTGTACCCTTTTGGCAAGCTTCGAAATCACTTGAGGCTTGACACCAAGGCTCGGGCTCTTCATCACAAACTCATCCTTGAGTTCTTGATGGGTCTGCTGCACACACCTGCGACACGCCGAACGTTCGACACAGGACAAAATAGAAACCGCGCACGACAAAATAGAAACCGCGCGCGAGACACAAACGACCGCGTAACACGCGTCTAGCGATAACTCGCTATTGACTCGAGACACACACTCGACATCATGACTCAACATTCACACACAATTATAAGCATGAAATATATATTATCCCATGCCCTCATACCATTCCATACACACACACATTCACGCACACGGACAACAAGCCGAGTGCAAACCGTAGGGTTGCACCAACAAACTCCCCCTCGGATTGTTGGCCTTAGGATATGTTGCTCTCTCAGTTCAGAGCCATCCCAGCCAGCTTGCAACACTTCCAATGCTGCTGTGGTCTTCACGTAGCGCAACTTAACTTCACCCGCGGTTACCATGCTCCTCGTCCAATGCCACTTCACCCTCATGTGCTTCGTGAGTCCATGCAACACAGGGTTCTTAGCAAGAGCAATGGCACCCTGGCTGTCACAGTACAGTGGGGTAGGTCCTTGCTGCTCCTCCCCCAATTCAGCCAACAAACGCCGCTGCCACACAATCTCCCGTACGGCACGGAAGAGTGCCATGTACTCGGACTCCACCGAGCTCAAAGCTTGGTCAACCTGCTTCTTGCTCTCCCAAGCAGTTGGGCCTCCACCAACACAGCATATGAAGCCTCCCACACTTGTCATGTCCTCTGGTTCTGATGCATATGAAGCATCCGAGTAGGTGGTGAGGAACAAACGCCCGGGCTCAACACCATCCGCGCCCTTTTGGCGCCTTTGTGCCGCCGCCGAGTATTGCAGCCCAACGGTCGGTGTTTGGCCAAGATACTTGGCCACCCTCATTCCAGCTGCTACCTGCTCCTCATTAGGGCATTGCACAACCCTAGCCAGCTGCCCGGTAGCAAACGCAACGTCCGGTCGGGTGTTTACCGCCGCATACATGAGGCTGCCCACCAACGAGTGAAATCGGCGCCTCTCCTCTTCACCAACGCTCTCCTCCTCTGGTCCCTTCACACACTTGAACCCAGAGGGAAAGGGTGTAGCCACATGGCCTTCACTCTGCCCAAAGTTGGCAGCCAATGCCTCCAGGTACTTTCGTTGATGCACCCGCATGCACCGCTTCTCCACATCTCGTTCGATGTGGAGCCCAAGGTAGAAGCTCACGTCACCAAGGGCCTTGCACTTGAACTTGTCTTGAAGCTTCAGCATCACTTCCTTCACAAGGTCAGAAGAGGGTGAGAAAATGAGGATGTCATCCACATAAACCACCATGAAACTCCTCTGCTCCCCCTCGCCAAGCATGAACAAGGAGTGAT